ATCCTTGGTTGAAGAACCGGACCCGCTGGTTCTGTACTGGCCTTCCGTACGGATGTACGCGCGCGTCACCGTGTTGGGCGGGCGCCATCGGGGCGCCCGCCTGGGACGAGGCAGGTGACGGATGGTAGCTAGTCGGCGGCGAGCTAAGCGAGCTCGGCGTCGCCGACTGATCCGTCACCGCCAGTATCTCCTCCGTTTCGGTTCCGCGCGCTGTCGGGAGTTCAGACAGGGACTCCACCGACAGCACGGGCCTTGTCCGCTCGTTGCGCCGGAATCTTCTCACCGAATCGGACGGTGCTTGAGGCGACGCGAACGAGGTCTCCTGTCTTCGAGCCGAGCGGTGCGTCTCGCCTATCGCTTGCGCGTAGCGTGCCACCGCTTGGTAGTTCACGCCCGGATGCGTCCCGAGATAATTCCGCACCTGCGCGCACGTCGCTGGCAGAAGTCCCTCAACGAAAAGGGACTTCAAGCCCCTGTCCGAAAATACAGTTCCGCAGCGCAACGTCTTGTCCCACAACTGGTTACTGTACACCTCCTCCGTCATATTAGAGCTTTGACGGAAGGAGGTGACATCACCGACCGCTTCGGAAATAACTTCGTCCGTCGCGTACGTGCGTAATAAAAAGTTAACAACTTCCGCGTAGGTTTCGAGCATATCGCGCTGCTCCGCATCGACCGCCATGGTGTTCCCGTGTAGCCTGGACTGGAGCAAGGCGTGAGCCTACCCAGTCAAATAGAACTAGAAACACCAGACGGCCGCGCCTTCGCTGACCCCATTGTGGTCGCAGGCCATCTTGAAGCGCGCGAGAAACCCTAGCACCGCGATTGGATCTTGACCACCGAACGTGTGGGTTTTCAGCTGGACATCCAACTTCTTCCCATAACGGTTAACTCGCCGCGCGGTACTCGCGTCGTAGCGCGCGCTGCGATTTTCCAGCCTATACGTGCGGTAGTCGACGGCCTTGGTGAACAGGTCGTTCAGCGGCCTGATCACCGGCAACCGTTTCGGATCCCGCCTCGGGGCAGACCGGCGGTCTCTGCCGCTGCCATGGCGGTCTCCTTCTCCGCCGGGGCTACTGTAGCCCTCCGGATCGGAGTCTTCTCGCCGGAACCGACGTCGGTCGCGCGCATTGCGGCCTCTGCGGTCGCTTCTGCGCGATCCGTCCGACTCTGTGTCCTCGTCATCGGAGGGGTATCCACCTCCTCCGGCATCGCGGTATCGCGTATGGCGTCCTTCGCGGTTATCATCGGAGGGGTAACCGACCCCTCCGGCATCGCGGTATCGCGCGTAGCGTCCGTCGCGGTTCTTGCGCGTCGCCCTGTGGCGACGTCTTGTGTCTTCTTCCTCGGAGGGGTTTTCTGTACCCTCCGAGGTGTAGCCTTGAGCGCCGGGTGCGCTTCTTCTGCTCGACCGATACGGCTATCGCTTTTCTGTCGCGAAGCGCCCCAGGCGGTTTTCTGTCCCGCGGGGGCCAGCCATATCGGCGAGTACGGGGGGGCCATTTTCTGTGGGCCCTCCCGTAGCACCATAAATTGGTGGGAGGTAAATGGTCTTACCCTCCGGGTGAGGGGCCATTGTACCGATCCAGGGTGCGGCGCCGATCGGGTCAGCGTGCGGTAGCGTAAAATCCGGAGCGGTTGAGTCGCGCTGCGCGTGCGCGTCGACTCCTGCTTCGGCGGGAAAGGTCGTGTCCAGACGATTGGCCACGGCGGAGCTGATCGCTCCCTTTAGAGCCGTACCGGACGGGGATTCTTCATCCACAGTGGTGAGCGCGGTCACCACCTCGCATTGGACTTGAGCGGGTAGAAGTTCGTCCAAAAGCGGTGGTATCGCGCTGCGTACGTGCGCGTCCACGAGCGCGGGCACCGTTCGGTCGAGGCATACGCACGCTACCTGGGGGAGATCCGTAGCGAGGAACTCCTCGACCCAGGCCTGGATGCGCGGCTGAATCGCGTCGAACATCCATCGGACGCGATTCTCAGTGCCTGACGACACGGCCGGCGTAACATCCGATGCGGACGCTCGCGTGCGGCCCGGTCGCGGTGGCGGTCGCAGCAGGGCTTCCGGGTTCTCCACCCGGGGGCGCAGTGCGCCACTGCCACTGCCGGTGCTCAGACGCCCGGAGGCGGAGTCTCCCCCTTGATCCGGTTGGTTCATCGTCGAATACGCTTCGCAATCGACGCGGTGATTTCTCAACCTTTTCCGTCCGTACGGTTCTGCGCTCGATCGAGCGACTACGCGTGCGGCTCAACCTCGAGAGTTATCCCCTCCACAAGAGTACCAAATGTGGGATAACTCCTCTCCGCCCTGGGTTGGGTGAAAGGCGGAGGCTTTAGCGAGGGAGCACGCGGCGCGGACGCGACGCGCCAATTGAAACGATCGGACGAGCTCGCGAAAAGGGAGTGGCTCACTGGCCGGTTACGCGCAGTCGCCCCGTGGTGCGTGAACGGGAGCGACCGGTAACGGGTTAGAAGCCAGCGCGCTTGACAGACAACCGAAAACGGACGTACGTAGGCGCAAAAGGGACGGGGGCGAGCTTGCCCCAGTTTACCTGTAGGGACGGGTGTCAGGTCTTAACCCCTCAGAGGGACGCCTCGGACACCTGTCCCAGTACAGTAGTACGGTACTTGCCGCCTAGGGCGTGCCGGGTACTGTACACAATTAAAAAGCTAGCGCCATAATTACTACTACCGCACGGACGCTGCTACTACACGTGTGCACTACTGTACACGCGTGTTGCTTACAGACTATCGCACACACGGACGATATGTGTGCTAACGCACACACGTAACACGCATAGACTACCGCACGGACGACACGTGTGCTACTGTACACGTGCGCCACGCCACGGCCGGTTGGTCAACGCGCCCGCTCCCTACACGTGGGCACACCCGCCCACGTGTGCACCGTGCACGGCCGCACGGTTAATAACCTCCCCGCGCGCACACCGGTCGTTATACTACAACCGCTAACAACATTCAGTAGGCCCTTGAGCAGTTTGAAATCGACCCACTTGCTCTTCTTCTCTGTGTCCTCCTTTGCGCCTTCCTCCCCCCCATGCTCCTCCCCGATAAAACCACAAACCTTCTCCCTACACACTCCCGTCACCTCGCTCTCTACCTCCTAGCAGGATTACAACTAACAAGCAGTCACAAAGTCGCATCTCCGCGACGTATACGAGCGTGGCAAGTAAGCACTGGCGCGCGGTGAACGTGCGCATCGCGGCCGCGACCGGTAGTCCGGCTGCTGTTGCAAGCTTCGGACGCGCCTCGCAGCGGGCGTCCGCACGGCCGGCGCATCTATAAATGCACGCGCGGACTCCGACCGTCACGGACGCGGTCGGCCATCCAGCGTTGCCATTGCTGCGGTGCGCGTGCTCTGTGCTCCCAGCGACTACTTCACCGCCAAAAGTACAGCTTCAATGGCACGGCTGAGCAGTGCTTGGCTCCGTTGTCCGAAATACGTAGCAAAATCACCTCAAAGGGCCGCTTTTGAGCCCTTGTGATCACTGTAGTGAACATGTGTGTATGATCACTACAGTGGACTTAGCCCAAAATGAGAGGTCCCCAGGTGTCACTTGGGAAGCATCGCGAAACCGTGAGACTTGGCCGATTTCTGCCAATCCTTTTCGAGTCGACTCGTCTGATTAGCCGTTATCGACATGCATTTTGATAGCTCGAAACACTGGGTAAAAAGTGAGCTACAAAGCGTCAAAATTAATGATCACTGTCGTGATCATTAAAAATGAACCCTAGGGATATGGTTGGGTTTTTGAGGAAAACGCCTACCGATTCTGTCATTTTTCGTATTTGGCCAACGGAAAAGTGACTTTGCAACGCATTCTCCTACTAAATCTGTCAAAAAAAACTTTTGCCTACGGAATCAGTTCTTTTTTCCCGTTTCCCCTACTGATCGTGAAATCCACAACTACTAAAATCCGTGTCTGTGTGTCTGTCTGTATGTCCTTGCGCTCCCGCGTTGGCATTGGCGCACGGGGGCGGCGCCGCGGTGACAAGTGGCGGCCACGTGCGGGGCATTGCGGCACTACAGTAGCGTGCCGGTGACAAGTGGCAACACGTGGCAGCGCCCCTGGTGACAAGTGGCGGTGAGGCGAAAGCGCGCACGAATAGAAACGTTTTTTACATAGCGGCACGTCGGCAGCACAGTACTGGCTTTCGAGTTCAACAACCTTCAGCAAATTTTCACCACGTGACGGCTCCCTGGGAGCGTGGTGACCAGAGTCTGGGCAAGGCAGCGATCGTGATTCTATGCCGGCTTAGTAGTGGGTTGAATACGGCATTCCCCGCGAAAAGTTTATCGGATTGCTTGACGGCATCCGGATAGTCCCTAGGTGCTATTGCGCTTTGCTTTTAGTAAAGCGTGGTAGTCTGCCGCTGTTCAGGAAGCCTAATCCGATAGCGCACCATTTCTTGGTGTTGTAGTATCGGGCTCGGAACAACGGCCTCCGCAGAGCAATCTGCGGACGTCGGACTGACGTTGTTTTCAACGTCGACAACGAAGATCAAACGCAGCCTCCGTCAAACTATAGAGGCTGCAAGAAGACCCAGCGTAGGTGCCGTTAGGACTTGGGAAACCTAACCACCGCACTGAGTGAAAAGGGAGCGCGCGTACTTAGCGACCCCGGCGGGAAGAGCCTTGCAAGAGGTTCTTTCTAATACCGGGCTCCCTGGGAGTAGAAATAGACAAGGTGGTCGTACTCTGAGTATTAATACTGTACCCTGTGTATAGTAGGACCATTAGTCTATTTCTATTTCGTTTTTGGTTCTTTTGAATCACGGGATAGTACAAGACAATAACGGCCCTATATTGTTACTCTTTTGCTAAGTGCTCTTGCGGACGACCTAGCTGGCTGACGTTGCGTTTAGACCTTTGAGGACTGCTTGCTACGACTCATAGCGATCTACAACGTACCCCTCGCACTTGCGTCAACCCTAGCTGCACTTGCAGGGATAACACTAGCGCGCCGAGCAAAACATAAATGGCGGGAACAGCGGGCGAAGACGTGGCAGAAGCAAGACGGCAGCAAAGAAACGCGCGTGCAAGGGAAAGAAGAGCGCAAGAGTCTGAATCTGACCCTCAAGCACGTCGTGAGGCACGTCGAGCCCGTGCGAGAATCCGGGCGGGGCAACAAACCGAATCTCAGAGGGAAGCGCGTCGTCAAGCCGACCGTGAACGTACTGCAGCACGAAGAGCAGCAGAGACGTCTAAGCAGCGCGTGGAGCGTCTCCGTCGACTGAGGGAGAGAGCCAGGGCGCGCAGAGCGGGAGAAACCACCCCCCTCCGAAATGCGCGGCGCGAAGCGGATCGCATTGCGACACGAGGCGCTAGAGCGAAGGAATGTACTCCTATTCGTGAGGGGCGGCGAGAATCGGATCTTATTGCAACGCAAAGAGGCCGAGCCGAGGAAAATAATCCACTGAGATCTTCGAGACAGGAGTCGAATCGCTTGGCAATGCGACAAGCGAGAGCTGTGGATATATCCCCCGTCATAGCTGCGCGGCAAAGATCCGACCGCCAGGCTCGAAGTGCCTCTCGACAGCTCTTCCCTCCACTACCGGAGTCCTGTCCTTCGTACTGCGATCTCGGCATGATCCGTGTTGAGTGTTCGCACTGCAAAGCTCTGCATTTCGTCCAAGAACGCATCGGGAGCAGCTCTGCCGCAAGGCCCATTTTTTCCACATGCTGTGGGAAGGGGAAGCTGTCATTGCCGCTTCTCCCAGACTCGCCAGCTCTTCTGCGCTCTCTTCTCATCGATGATACTCCAAGGGCCCGCAGCTTCCGTAAGAACATTAGAGCATACAATGTAGCGCTATGGATGGCATCCGTGGTCGCCAAATGGGTGAACAGAGGTCCCGGTCCTTCTAATTTTAACCCCACAATGACGATGCAGGGCGGGATGTACCATTACATGGGTCCCATGATGCCATCCGAAGGGCGGGCGCCTTCCTATGCTTCCGTTTACATTCATGACACTGACTACGCCACCCAGACGCGCACAAGGCTTGGAAACTCTAGATAACTGGAAGAGGCACTGATGACGCAACTGACACACATGCTGCACGAATGCAACCCCTACGTGCAGACTTTTCTGTGTATGCGAGAATGGGCTCAATCTCCTCACAACAACACTCCTGCCACGTACCAGATGGTCATCCATGCCGACCGCAGGCCAAGTCATGAGCACGTGCGCCGGTACAATGGTCCCGAAGCTTCTGAAGTCTCCGCATCGATCCCTGGAAATGAAGACGGAGAGATTGGGCGAAGAGATATCGTCGTGCGCAGGAGAGGTACTCTGAACAGTAACGGGAACGAAGTGCTGGATCCGATTTCAGTCAGTCATCGCGCATACGATCCATTGAGTTACGTGCTTTTGTTCCCGAACGGTAGAGATGGATCGTATCCAGAGCTTCGATTCTCCAGTGTTCAAGACGGCAGACGTACCAAGATTACTCCGATGATGTACTACGGATGGCATTTGTTGGAAAGAGCAGGCGAGTTCAGCACAATCTTGCACGCAGCACGAATCTTTCCGCAATACTTGGTTGACCAGTTCTGCAAAGTGGAGGCAGAAAGGCTTTCTTATCTCCGCCACAACCAGACACAACTTCGAGCCGCCGACTACACCTCACTGCGCCACAGCCTAGGAGACTCCGGTCGTGCTGAAGATGAAGCCGATTCCGTGCGTGCGGGACGACTGTTCATTCTCCCTTCCACGTACATTGGAGGTGATCGCTATATGAGGCAGCAGATGCACGACATCATTGCTATATCGAACCAAATTGGCCACCCGGACATCTTCCTCACCATGACATGCAATCCAAGCTGGCCGGAGATCACAAGAGCCCTACTGCCGAACCAAACGCCTCAGGACAGACCGGATCTGTGCGCACGTGTGTTTCGTCTGAAACTGAAAGATCTCATGTCCTTGGTCATCAACGAAGAAGTATTCGGAACCGTTGTGCCCATGTACGAGTCATCGAGTTTCAGAAACGCGGTCTTCCCCACGCTCAAGTTGTATTTTTCCTAGATGAAGTCTCCAAGAATGATCTGCGTACTCCCGAAAACGTCGACCGCACCATCTCTGCCGAGATCCCGTCTGCACAAGATCCAGAACTCCAAGAGGTCGTGCTCAAGCATATGATTCACAATCCATGTGGAGAACACAATCCAACAGCCGTGTACATGGGCGAGCGGTACTGCAGGAAAGGGTTTCCAAAATCGTTCAAACACGAAACCAGCCAGTCCGACAGTGAGTACTACATCACGTACCGAAGAAGGGCACCCTCTGCAGGTGGCGTCTCCATCGAGCGACCCTCCCGTATTGGCCGACGACAGCAACCCGTCGTGGTAGACAACTCCTGGGTCGTTCGCCACAGTTCTGTGCTTCTACGTTCATTCGCTTGTCATTTGAATGTTGAACTCTGCGTGTCACGCGTTGGCGGAATCAAGTACCTCTTCAAGTATGCGTGCAAGGGACAAGACCGAGTGACCATGGAAATCAATGCCGAGAACGAGCGCTACGACGAGATCTCCAACTTCCAAGATGCCAGATACGTTTCGGCATCGGAGGCCGCATGGAGGTTATTCTCCTTTGACATTGTAGACCGCAATCCTCCAGTAGTCAGGCTTGCAGTGCATCTGCCCAACGACCACACGGTGTACTTTGAGGAAGGGCGAGAGCAGGAGGCGGCGCTTCGACCAGCAACAGGCACGAAGCTGACCGAGTGGTTTAAAGCCAACGAGATGTACCCAAGCGCGCGGCATATTCGGTACCACAAGTTTCCAAGGTACTTTACGTGGAAGACACACACCAAGTCATGGAGTCCAAGAGCAACCCTGCGAAGACAGAACGCCAGCAGCGAAGAGGAAGCCTACGATTTCAGTGGTACAGGTGTCAACGTAGTCGGTCGAATCTACACTGTCAGTCCGAGGGAGGGTGAGCGCTACTTTCTTCGCCTCCTCCTCACACAAGTGCCAGGTGCAACATCCTTCAAGAACTTGCGAAATATCGACGGCGAGCAGTGCACCAGCTTCCGACAAGCTTGCTTACGACTCGGTTTGCTGGCCGACGATGCCGAGTGGAAGCACGCAATCCGAGATTCATTCCGGTCAAGCTTCGTTCCTCTTTCTCATCTGTTTGCTACGATTCTGGCACACTGCCAGCCTTCGGACCCTCTCTCGCTGTGGAACGACCACCTGGACATGTTTCTCACCGATATTCGCAATCGTGCACGCGAACAACCCATTCGAAGACAGCAGCTTCACGATGATCACCACGCCACATCTTACGTGCTTCGAGAGGTACAGGAGGCCCTGCAGACCGTGCGTTCCGACTGGACGATGGCAAACTTCGGAATCCCACTGCCCGATGACAGACTTCCCGCTTTGGAACAGCAAAACGAGATCGAGACCCCCGAAGCAAGAGCGCAGTAGTGGGAAGAGCGACTACAGACGTCGTTGCCGCTGTTGAACACAAATCATCGCCATGCCTTTGACGAAATAGTGGGCTCCATGCTTCCAGGCGTATCCGTCTCTGCATTGCTTCAAGGATCCTCAAGCGCCGTGGCGGGACCTTCTATGCCGACACGAAGTGGTCGTCTCTTCTTCCTCGATGCTCTTGGCGGAACAGGCAAAACATTCGTTCTCAGCGCCATTCAAGACTTCCTTCGTACGCGCCGTAAGCAAGTCATCGCTGTCGCTACGTCTGCTGTTGCTGCTGTGTTGCTCGACGGTGGACGCACCGCTCATTCCGTGTTTAAGGTTCCCATTCCTGTATCTGCCGAAAGCACGTGCAGCTTCTCCGCAAACTCCGACACTGGCCGTACACTGCAACAAGTCGATCCCATCATATGGGACGAGATCGTCATGTGCCATCGACATTGCATTGAGACTGTCGATCGCTCCCTTCGCGACTTGATGCAAACCGACCGGCCCTTCGGAGGAAAGTTCCTCATGCTCGCTGGAGACTTTAGACAAATCCTTCCCGTCGCTCCGGGCGGGTCCCGAGGTCAAATCGTGAGCGCGTGCGTCAAGGCTTCCCCGCTGTATCTAGAGTGCCGATTCCTGCGCCTTACCGAGAACATGCGCCTTGCTGCTCTCCGAGCGGACCCTGCAGCAGATGTGGAGGCTCTCAACTTTCCAGAGTTCCTCCTCAGCGTCGGGGAAGGCAGACTTAACGGCGAACAGCGCCCGGAATGGATCTCACTACCACAGTCCGTTGCGTTCGAGCATACTATCCGCAATTTATGCCTCAAGGTCTTCCAAGGGATTCGAGACAATCACGCTGACCCTGCCTGGCTCACCAAGCGCGTTATACTCACCACAAAGAACAGGCCGCTCGAGGAAGTCAACGAGGTCATCGGCAACATGATTCCGGGACCGTGTCGAACGTATCTGAGCGCAGACAAGGTCGAGAACGAAGACACCAACGCGCTAATCTATCTCACAGAAATGCTCAACACCTTGACCGCCGGATCTGCTATACCAGACCCCAAGCTCAAGCTCAAGAAAGGCTTCATCGTCATGCTTCTGCGCAATCTCGATCCCTCTACTTGTCACGTCAACGGCGCGCGATATGTCATCGAGAACATGACCAACAACCTGCTCTTTCTACGCGTTACCACCGGGTCACACCAAGGCAACAGACTGTGTCCTCTTCGAATGCCCTGCGGACCAGGAGACGACAACTTTCCCATCCCTGGCTTCACCCGAACGCAGTTCCCCATTCGCACGTGCTTCGCCCTTACAACGAACAAAGCGCAAGGCCAATCCTTCGGTGGCCGCATTCAATGCGACCAAGTTGGTCTCGACTTACGAGATCACTGCTTCTCGCACGGTCAACTCTACGTCGCACTATCAAGGACTACTCACCCAGTGAACGTCACTGTCCTCACTCGAGAGTCCAATGAAACAACGCGAAACATAGTGTACCCCGAGGTCCTTCAGTAGTTACCAAAAAAAAGTAAACGCCATTGTCTTTACATCTTTTCATTGCCACCCTTCCCAAATAGTGTTCCTCCACGCTTTCTTGGCTCGGCGCGCGAAGCGCGCACGGAGCCCACTTGTCTCCCTTTCTATTTTAATAGGGCCTGACATCAGGCCCGAGACCTCGTGCAATCGACACGGGATATGTGCACCTGCCTCCGTGATATCAGAGAGTCGCCTTGGAAGTTTGCACCGGAATGACCACACGTCTTGCAAAAGTCCTCGTTCCTACGTTCATCCCCCCCGCGCAACTGCTCACACGTTCAGCAAGACGTGATTTCCTGGGGGCAAATCGGTCTAGTCTCTGCTCATACCGACCAGCTGGAGCATTTCATCTTAATCCAAAACAGAACCGCGTGCTTTCTAGCATGTCGCATCCGTCCCCGTCATCACCGACAGATGCCACTACGATGGACTCTCCGGCTGAATCCGCCATGCCCAGCCGCTCGGCAATGGAGGAGCCAGCAGTGCAGTACGTCGTCGTGCGCCGCGACCTACTTGCTACATGGCCGACGGGGTCTGTGATCGCGCAAGCCGTGCATGCATCTGTAGCCGCGGTCTGGGCAAGTCGTGGCAGCGAACTGACCAGGCAATACTGCGGGGAGCAAGAACCAGCGCAGATGCACACTGTTGTGCTGGAAGCCAAGAATGAGGCGGGGCTACTCAAACTTGCCGATCGGCTTCGCGACAACGAAGTCGAGTTCGTGCTTTGGAAGGAGCAGCCGGAAGATTTTGTGACGGCGTTGGCGGCATGGCCGTATCCACGGGCGCAAGTAAAGAAACATTTTTCAAAGTTTAAGTTATTTAAATGACGGGACACGTCCGAAAACGAATGCTGGACCTGTGCGAGACCTGCGTAAAGAAATCGTAGAAACAAGTGTTACCGCTCGTTACCGGAGAAGGTGGCGTATTCTCCTGCGATTCCGGCCCATATGCGTGCTCTTTCCTCTATGGCAGCCCACTCTTCACTCTTTAGTGCTTCCTTTGGCAATATTTGTCTACTCGCACCGACGCAGGCGACATTTCGCTGCGCGAAGTATTCTCTCAGTTTCTTTTCATCTACACCACTTGTCGGCAATAAAGGGATGTGTCCTAGCGGCCCTTGCATCGCCTTGACGAAGTCGACGCCACCCAACAAGTTGACCGGGAACACTTTGACCAGCATCGCCCCAGCTGCATACGCATTGTATATCTCCGTGGGTGTCGCAGCACCCGGAACAGCCAGCATCCCAGCATTGTGTATTTCAGAGATGATAGCGGCGTCGGTAACTGGCGAGAGAGCAAACCTTGCTGAGGCCGCGGCAGCAGCAGACACGTCGGCCGGGGTGAGAACTGTACCAGCGCCGATAAGAGCGGAGGGAAAGTTTGTGTTGAGAGTGCGAATGATAGAGGGTGCAGAGGGAGTCGTCAAGGCGATCTCTATGCAGCGAATCCCACCGCGAATTGCGGCTGATGCGGCGGATATGGCAGTGGAGGGAGAATCCATGCGCACACAGAGCATTATTGGAGATGAGCGAAGGATGGCTAGCGTTTCTGAAAGAGGGTTGTGTAGCGGACGGAAATTTGAGCAATTTGCGTCAGGGGAGTGTGGACCCGATGGGATTCTGGGCGGGTTGTGTAACACCATTCTCGTGGGTGTTGGGCGTCGTGGATGGCGATTTGGTTGCGGGGTGTCGGTGATGCAAAAGGGGAGTAGGGGGGCGATGAATCCTAGGTGCATTGTAGGGAGGGGCCTGAGCGGGTGCTCCTGCTGTGGTGGAAATGTCCTGCTGAAGAAGGTGGATGAGCAAGCAAGTAGGGTGAATATTCACGAGTTTGACATCCTTGAGTGCTCTGGCATGGCCAGGGCATGGGTGATCAGTGAATGATTTGCATGTACTGTACGTATTTTGAGATACTCTGTCTGATTGGATGATTGCATATCTCAGGAATGAAACAGTAGAACACGTGTAGAAGGTCGAATGAGACCTAAAGTTACTGTGGACCAAGGTGCCAATCGGCTCTGGGATCTGAAGTGCGGCCTTCGATGGTCTTAAAAGGACGTATATTCAAACGGGACAGTTTCCCTCCAAATTTGAAATTTCAAAGGTGCTGCAGTCATCTCGCTCCGCCTCGTTGCAACACCACGTCCGCTTCCCCACCTCCTTCTTTCGCGAGTCGCACTGTGCCACGCAAGGAAATGCAATCTTCCAAACTCCATTTCTTCCCGCACCTCACCAGCCCCCTTCCCTTCTCAAGCGCTCCATTCAAGAACTCCACCTTTGTAGTGATCGCTGCTCACCACGCGTTCCAGCCAAACCATGTCTAACATTCCCTCACCCGCGGCCACGCGCGGCCGCGTCAATCGTCTGTCAACCACTTCACGTATCCCTGGCCCAGGCAGAGAAAGCGCTATCCCAGGTCCCCGCCGCAACTCCCGTACTCAAAATGAGTCCTCGATCCCCACGCCTCGCCGCACATCCCGAGCCGGCGCAAACGAATCTTCCATTCCCACCCCGCCGCGCCATTCCCGCAGTCGCGCAAATGATTCATCTATTCCTACGCCTCGTCGATCTTCTCGCACATCATCATCAATACCAGCCCCTCGCCGCCTTTCCGGCAACGCAGCCGATTCAGGCCTCCCAACCACCCCTCGTCGCGTTTCTCGCACACTTGGCCAATCAGGCATCCCTACCCCCCCACGCCGCGTTTCTCGCAATGGAGGCGAATCGGGCATTCCCACCCCTCGCCGCACATCTCGTACAGCGGGTGAATCAACAATCCCTACGCCTCAACGCATGTCTCGTCCAGCTGACACTGGAACACGACGTGTTTCAGGCCTGAGGCCAAACCCTTCCCCCGTTGGGCGTCGAGTCTCCAGCACAAGAGAAAACCCCGCCCTTAGAAGAGGTCCTGGAGCAAGTTCGCCGTACGGCCGCCCCACGACAAATGCTGACGCCTCTGGAAGACGTACAACTCGTGAGAGAGCACTTCCGGATAGAACGGCAGGGGGACTGAACGGTCCAGTTTCAGTGTCAAGGAAAATACCAGCCCTAGCTGCTCCAGTGTCTAGGCAGCCACTGAAGCAGAGTCCGTATACGCGCAGGACAAGTACTAGCGGTACAGCCAGGGGCGTTGGCAGCCAGCAAGTTATCCGAAAGCTGAATATGACTGCAGAGGAGGAAACGAAATCTGCTGTACCAGGGATGAGGGGGCTTTCGGGAATATCTCCGGTTGCAAGGCGTCTCAGTAACACGAGAGGCGACACTCCGATAAAGAGGGGAAGTGGTGCGGGCGGTAATGTCAGCATGACAGGGGTGAACAGGAGCACCAGGCGTAACCAGCCATCTTCATCAAGAAATACAAGCCCCAGAAAGGTTTCGCCGGTTGCGGACAGGATGGGGGTCAGGAATCGTGTAACAAAGCGAACCACAAATGCTAATCGCAACATTCTTGGCACGAAAGGCAACACCATTGACCGCGGCTTTCCGTCTGATCGCGTCGAGAAACAAAAGTCGGTGGGTGTCAAGAGGCTGGCTGGTTCGGCACTTGAGAGTTTTCGTGCAGTTCGCAGAGCTAGCCTTGAGAGCGAGAATGCGGACGCGAATGCGCAATTCCACCGTAAGGTTAACATGGCAGAAGAACCTGAAACAAATGATGCTGTCATGGCAGATGTAGCAGATGTTCCCAGCGTACCGGGCATACAAGAGCTTCAGAAAGACGGATTGCCTGATCGACCAGACCCCATTGTTTCCGCCCAGGCTCCAAGCGGTGCTGGACCCGGCAGAACACCGGGGAAGACATTCAGACGAACAAGTTCAAGATTTTCGGATGCAGACGTATGTTTAGACAACGTAGAAAAGCTACGTACCTCATTGGGGCGGAGGAGAAGCCGAACCATGGGTGATGGAGAAGCTCCGGAGACTCCCAAGTTGCGTCGATCAAGTCTAACGAGAAATATTATGAATGCAGCAGCTTGGGAGAATGAAGATGTAGATATGATGGACTGCGAGAATAGTAATACTGGGGTTGACGTTGGAAATGAGACTCGATTTCCAACCAGGGCTCCGTTCCAAGCCATTCAAACAAACCATGGGACTGAGGGAGACAGCGCTGCGGATGGACTGAGGACTGGTATGAACTTCGCAAGCAAACGAATGAGCATTGTCCCGCACTTGGAGGGGGAAGATTGGGAAAATGAGGATGTCGAAGACCTTCTTGCCTAGTCATTCACCAATTGCGGCGTAGTTTATTAGATAATGTAAATGTATATCATGCTCTCTGGACCTTGTCCAAGGCTTCACAATTTCTAAATTTTGGCGATGAGAGGCGAGGCGAAGTAGAGCGTAGCATTTAGCCTTATACAAGACCGTCGCTGCACCTCGTAGTTACTTGGATTCGCAACGGTCTCAGGGAGCAAGAAGCTCTGTCAGATAAGATCCGTCCCCATGCTCAAGACATCCTAATGAATTTCTGCTCCATCAGGAAGCTGGCACGTAATGACACCTGCTGCAGTGCGTAACGGCTTGCTGTCATAACATGCAGTCCCATCCTTGACGCTGAGCCTAGGCACAATTTTATCCCAAGTCTTGCCGGACACGAACTTTCCGTCCTTGACGGTTCTCTCTTCATCAATACCTTCAGCAATCACAATAGACCCGTCTTCTGCAGCCGCTGGAGCTGCAAGAATGACAACTTCTTCTTTCACTCCGTCATCAGACTTAACGCTACCCGCAAGAACCATACCCTCGCTCAGAATACCTCGTAACGGTCGTGGCTTAAGGTTGCAAATCGTCACTACCATACGGTCCTTCAGCTCTTCCTCAGGTATATAGTTGCGAAGACCCGCACATATCGTTCTCAATTCCTCGTCGCTGTAGCGTACCTTCAACACGTACAAAAGTTCTGATTGGGGATGATAGGAAACCTCAGTCACTCGGCCTACTCGCAAGTCACATTGTAGAAACTGCGACCTTACCAGATCAGCCGCCGGGGGCGTTGGCTGTTTCGGCTTCTTTTCCTTCTTCTTCTTTTTCGGCTGCTGTGGTTTTGTCGAAGTATCACTATTAGTCGCCAATAAACGATCTGCCTTTGGAGTTCCTTGTTCGGCCGATTTAGGTGCTAGCGCTTGTTCGACGTCTTTGATGATTTTGTCTAGCATCTCGAGCACCGGCTTCATGACATCCATCTTGACAGTGTGAGCAAGGAATCGTTGTGAATCAGTGGCAAGTGATTTTGCGCTGCACGCAGAAATTTAATTTGCCTCGGCTCTGACAATGAGAAACCGCGTATGGCGTCTCGCTCGGAAACTATTCAACGTAGAGGACAGCGTGAGTTGGTGAGGAATGAATGTCAAGACAGGCTGGTTATCTTGTACCAATGCTTGACGGGGTACCAGGAACACGTGGGACAGTCACCGGGGGCGGCGTGGTAGCTTTCTGCCGTACCATGAGAAGGACTCGCATAGGGCGTCTATTTTCGGTTTCTGCAATTTTAAAGCTTGCAGTGCGGAGTTTGAATGATTACAAATAAACAAATGTGCAGCGATTTTTATGTCCTCGTCAACTATTTTCTATGCAGTCAAGTCCGGCTGCCTTGGTATCGGCATTACGAATGCAGCGGGATCTACCGTGACACTCTTCGTAGTATTGTGCGTCTTATATATCCCGACCAGACGATCGGCAAGCTCGAACATATTGTTGCGAAGAGAAATAATAATAAACTGCGCATTCTTAGTTCGATCTTTCACATAGTTTGCCACTATACTGACATTCTTGTAGTCAAGTGCCGCGTCAATCTCGTCAAGGAAGTACAAAGGTGTTGGTTTGAAATGGTGCAGAGCAAATACCAGAGCAAGAGAGCTCAAGGTCTTTTCACCTCCACTTAGATTGGAGATATTCTTCCAGCTCTTCTTCGGTGGCCTAACAGAGAACACAATTCCTTCCGAAAAGGGGTCGAGAGAGTCCACCAGCTCAAGTTCAGCATCACCGCCAAGCGTGATCATCTGGTAAAGTTCCTTCAACTTCAACGTGATGACACTGAACCCGGCCATGAATTCATCCAACCTCATCTTTCGAAGCGAGTCGCACTGCTTGCGCGCATTATCTCGGTTGGCTGTCAGCGCGTCTAGTTCATTCACTTGCGACTTATACTCCGCATCTTTGCTTTGATATTCCGCGATTGCCCCGATGTTCGGACTCAGCTTTGAAAGCTCACTTTCCAATACTGTGATTTCCATCGACAATTGCTTTTGATCCTGCGCTGACATTTTCAACTCCTCACGTTCTTCAACCTCATCTTCTGCACCCACACCATTTGTTTCCAAATCCATGGGATCGTTGGCGTCTTGCTCCTCATTGCCATCCGTGACCAAATTCTCTTTTTCATTACTCTTTTTTTGTGTCTCTTCGACATCTTTTTCTTCAGCATCTGCGCTGTCGGCTGCTACTTGCATGTCCACAGAGACCAGAGAGAGCTTCCTCAGCCTGGCCTTCATATTTTGCTCCTTCTTCTGCAGGATACGAAGTTCCTGCTTGTCATGCGCTGCTACACGCTTTACATCCTGAAGGGCCTCTGATAGAGATACCTCCTTCCTTCTGACCTGCTTCAATCCATTCTTCACCTCCGAATATTCAGCCTGTATCTTTGCCACTTTCTCCTCCCACTCTTTATGAACCACTTCGGTATCTTGATACTTCCGCAGCACGACTTCAGCGTCGTCAAGCATTTCCTCGCTCTGTCTCCGAGCCTCGGCGATGCTTTCCTGAGTAGACGTGATCGCTTCTTCAGCGGCCGCAGTTGCCTCACGGGCCTTTTCGCTTGCTTTTTTGGCTGCCGCCGCTCTTGACGACGTGCGCGAAGCAACGCTGGTTAAATCGGCAATTTCGGAATGACACTTCTCAACGGCCTCCTTTGCGTTCTGGAGTGACGAACCCCCTGAAGCAACTATTTGCTCTTGAAGCGAAGTTATTTCGGCCTCCAGTCCTTCGCAGGCAGCGAGGGCCTTCTCGAGCAACTTCTCGCTAGACTCAACTGACTTTTCCAACTGTCCTTTTCGTTTAGTGTCTTGACATGTTTTCTTTTTGATTTTCGTTTCCATGTCTTTCAGAAGCTTCTGAAGCCCTGGTATGGTTGTAGAAGTCATGTAGTCTTTTCTTGACGACAGTGAGTCCACCTCAAGTTTTGATCTTGCAACTTGCACTTGAAGTTCATCTAATCGAGAGTTCGCCGCAACAACGCATTTCTTCAAATCATGAATCTGCACTGTCTGCGCTTCGATTTGCTCTTTTGCCGAGTCCATTCTTTGCACAAGATTTTGCAGCTCTCTTTGATCTAGGTGAGAACTGTTCGCGTTTCCTGACCCCAGCCTGTACCGGGAAGGCCCCCTGCCACCCCCAGTCATAGCCCCAGATGACTCGATAAGTTCCCCCTGAAGACTGACGACGCGATTTTGTCTAGTTGGTTTAAACGCCATTCGTCGTGCACTCTCTAAAGAGTCTGCCACGAGTGTGTCCCGAAGCGAATAATACATTGCTGTGCAGTGTTCAGTGTCTGCGATTTGGAGGAAATCGAAGAGACGAGGACCATCAGCTCGGCGAGGAGAAGAACCCCATCCTTGCATCTGTGCACGTAAGTACATGATTTTGTCCAGAATGACAAAGGTCGCCCGTCCCAAGTTCTTCCGACGAAGAAACTGAATGCATGCTTGTGCATTTTCAGCACTCTGAACGACAATGCAATCGAGGTTCGACCCAGCTGCAGCGCCGACGGCAGCTGCATACTTGGGCTCCACGGTCGCAAGATCTCCCAAGCGCCCCACTACTCCCTGTAGCTCACCATTTCGAGACGCGGAAAGAATACCAGCGTGTAATCTAGAGCGCGTCTTGAGATCATCATTTGCTGATCGTGCTTCTTCCACACGCTTTCTCATTGTAGACCAAGATGACGACAAGTCGCCTACAATCGCTTCCTTCTCTATAACAGCATGCTTTTGACCAGGTATAGTTTGCTCGATTTGACCTCTCTCCGTTTCCAGACAGGTTAGAGTTTCCCGTGCGGTATGGTATTCCTCTTCTATGCGCCCAAGCGAGGCGGTTGCTTCTGAAAGGTTTTTGCTTGGAGCCTGTAGCTTTTCGGTCAAGAATTTGAGCTCTGACTGATTTACTTCCAAGTCCTTTCGACACTTATTCACTTCTTCCGAAAATGGCAACAACTCCAGCTGTTTCTCCTCTAGGCGCTGTCGAATAGGCTCGGTTTCCTTTCGAAGCTTGTCACGAACTTTGTCAAATTTCTCCTGGGCACCTTGCAATGTGGCCTGTAGCTCAATAATCTTCTCTTCAGCATCCCGTTTTTCCTGGAGAAAACCTGCAGCCTTTTGCTCACTGTCTTCAGCGCGCTTGCTTTCTCGAACTTTGGCGGCCTTTAGCTTTTTCTCTTTCGCTTTCAAAGCCTTGATGTCTTCGCGCAGCTTGATATCCTTCCTCTCATATGCAGAGTAATTATCTTTGGCCTCATTCATGGTCTTAATGGCAACGTCCGCACTCTTTTGCGTCTCTTTGAAAGTTTTCTCGAGTTCTTTGAGCCCCACTTCTTTCTCTTTCACATCATTTCTGAACGCTTCGTATTTCTCAGTCGCCTCGGCAAGCTTTTCACTGTTCGACTTGAAGGACATGGCCACATCTTGATGCCTTGCACTATTCAGCTTGAGCTTCTTTGTTAAAAGCTGTCTTTCCTTATCTAGGTAGTCCTCTGCTTCAACTTTTGCTTTCTCGAGGGCGTCGCGCTCCTTCTCAGCAGCCTTGACGCGATTCATTTTATGCCCTCGTTCCTCGTTGAGACTTTCCATCTGCCTGGCACTCTCTCCGATGGCTTCAATGTGCCTGTTCGACCCTATTATATCTTCCAAATATTCCAAAAGGCCGTCATCATGCGCAGATACGGCCTTAGGTTTCATCATCGCAATTTGCTCGACCTCACCTTGAAGAATGAGAAAGCGGTTATTGTCAAGGTCGACACCTTTCGACTTGAGCAGCTCAACAACCCTTCCCATTTTCACTTCCTTTCCATTGAGGTAGTACTTCGAGGTATTGTTCCGAAACGCAGTCCTTCCAACTGCAATTTCAGAACCAGAAACGACTTCGTAGTCAAGCTCACCATCGCCCGTATCGATGATTTCATGAAAGTAAACGGTCACAGTCGCGGACTGGACCTTAGGATAGGCGCTCGAATTATGCAACAGTTCAGAAAGCTTTGAGTGACGAAGCTGCTTCGCACGTCGCCCAAAAACGAAAAGCATCGCGTCGATGACGTTGCTCTTACCCGACCCATTTGGACCGACAATAGCTGAGAAGCTCTTGTGGAATGGGCCTACATCAATGCACCCGCCATAGCTCTTGAAGTTTTCAAGACGCAATCGCTGAATCGCGAGCCGTGAGGGAGGGGCCGTAGAGGGTACAACTTCAGGGGCTACCGGAGTTGGCGCTGCCTCCTTGTCCGACTCGATTTCTTCTTCGGCAGTTTCAGCTGCTTGCGAAGCAGAGTTTTCATCCGGCATGATTCAGCCTTATTTCTCAATAGAGAGCACGAAATCAGTCGACTAGGGTGTCGGAGAAGACCAGCTCCTCAATGGCGGCTGGCTAAATCATGCCAGGGCGCTGGTAGGAAGTCTAACACTCTCCCGCCAAAAGAAGAATTTGAAATTTTTGAATTAGGGAGGAACATGGGTGCTCACATTGCTGTCTGGAATGGTTGATATTGCCCCTTCCTCGGTCCTGTAGCCAGAGACCACGGCACCAGGGCCGCAAGCTTTCCCACTGCGCCAGCCTCCAAGCTGCAAAGAAATTACACGTTTGCAATGACGATCACGTGTCCGTCAGAATTGGTGAAGACGGGGTGAACAACACATGTCCACGGACAGCTCGAGCGACTACGTCAACTGTGTCGTATTGGATATGGTTGGGAGCTATTTCTGCACGCACTATTCAGGTACTGGCGATGTCCTTGTGCAGGCCATTTACTTCACAAAGCCAAAATGGGGGAAACGCTTTTGTTGCAAGACGCAGTACCAACGGTACAGTATTATACCTCTCCTACTACAAAAAGTTTACAGAAAAAATACGACCTCGTAAGCATGGCCGCCTTTCCCATCGAAGGCCTGGCTGAAAATAAACCATACAAATATATCAGTTGAAGTCAATTTCTCTTGCAAAAGCGTTGCTGAGCTTCGGTTTCGTTCGCTCTTTTGCTATCGCTATACGGTCCCAGCATAGAGCACATTCTTCAACTGCAAAACAGAGATATTGCGCAGCATGAAGGGGGGGAGGGGGGGGGGGGGGGGGGGGGGGGGGGGGGAGACGGCGGCAGCGGCGTGTTAGTCCCTAAATCTTCATGGTTGAGAGAAAGGACTAGCCTACTTTATAGTCTTGTTTCCTTTTGCATTAAAAGGGCCTCAACGATAATTGAGAAAGAACGTTCATTTTCTTTATCGAGGCGATCTGCCCCATTCGCGAGCCTGAAAATGACTGTACGACTTCTGGGTACTCAGCAGAAGGGCCTTGCGCACTTAGCAGAAGGGTCTTCCGCAAACTTGTATCCAGCAAGCTTTTAGAGTACTACAAATTTAATATGGATCATGCTCACATGTTACGGGCCAGCAAACAAAGAAGCAATTCGCATTGTGCAGTGATGCTTCTTGCAACAATTCTCTACCTATTCAGTTTTCCATATACTCCATCGAAGGTTGAGGTTCCTCGTAGTCCGGGTAATCGACACCAGGAAGTGGCTTAACAAAGTCTGGGTTTAAATCGATATCAAGTGTAGTTGTAGTTACATGATCCCTTTTGCTGTTCAGAGAAATTCTTTGTTCCTCTGTAGACTCTGGAACTGAATCCCGCCACGTGCCTTCCATTTTTGCTTCTGCTATGAGCATCCCTTTCACCAGTCCATACGCAGCAACGAAAACCTTGTCAATACATATGTCAGCACTCACGTCTTCGTTCAGAGGCCTTTCTTGTTTTATCAAAACTGCTTTCAGGATAAATCGCATATGCACGACTTGTTGGAAACCCCTCATTTGTTCCTTTCGTGTGCCAGCTCCATGTGACAGAAGGTCGAAAGCATTGTCGAAGATAAACTCCAAAAATGTCTGAATTGTGGTACATGCATCAGGCTCAGCAAGAATCTCTGCGATTTGGTCATCGTCCTTATTGAATGCCCTTCTAAAAATATCAGCCTGTTGTTCGTATGTGTAGAGCATACGCATAGACTCTTGATAAGGATCCTCCTCTCTTTTCACAGTTAGACTGCGCAGCAACCCAAAGCCGTCATCATTGTGCTCAAGTCCCCCGAGGCTGTCATCATTGTATTCAAGTAGGGCACTGTTGACTGGTTTTCCCCCGAACTCAAGATAGGTTTTCTGTATGGAACCCATATCCACCCTTCGGCCAGATATACGCTCACAGAGGCTAACGAGCAGCAAAAACGCAAGGCATCGAACTGTTGACGAGAACATGCTGTGCAGTTCAAACAATTGAACAGAATTCAAAGACGGATGCTTTTGATGGTCCTGAGGAGCAGTTTTGATGTGGACTACAGAGAGCTCTGTCTGGGTTGTGCCAAGCCATCATGAACGAAAGTGCCGCTACTTATAGACGAAAGTTCAAGGCGTGTGGGAGGAAAAGCTGCACACACGAGTGCTCTCTAGGATTCATTAAGATTTCATCTCGGTTCTGCCATGAAATAATTTTGTCGCCGTAAAAGGGAGACTGAAGCTATTGATGTTAGTCAATCTGTCAGGTCTAGAAGTCGAAGTCATGGGGACGCATCGTAATATTTAAGGAGCAAGCTGAAGAGAGAGGCTCAAAGGAGTAGCGTTGTCCCCGCTGCAAGATCATTTCGACTCAATGAGTGTCGCTGTCGGAGATAGAGTTGCAGTTGCAGCAATGGGACGGACAATGCAAAATGAATACAGGTAGCACTTCAACGAAGTAACTATACAATGATAGAGGAGAATAAAGGCACGACGTCTTATCGTGAACAGTAGTTTATGTAGAAAGCTTTGAGAAAAAATATCTAAGCGACGGGCGTGGTTAGGTCGCAGATGATATCAGCCTGCGAACGAGGTGTTGGATATTTGCGAGTCTCTGCCAGTGGTCGACTGAGCAGAAGTTAGAGTGAGGGTAGAGGCTGAAAAGTGCGACGGACGGTCCAACGTCACATTGGGCTCACCATGAGCTGAGTTCGACGGCAAACCCCGAGTTGAGCGCAGCATGCCCGACAGGGGGACGCTGGTGACGCTTGAGGTCGAGCACGTCATCCACGTTGTCCTTGGCAAAGCGATTGTAGCGCTTGCGAGGTGCCTGTGGTTGCGGCGTAGGGGCCTGTAGAGCTTGTGGCCGACTTGACGAGGACGAAGAGGCGGTGTAAGCGGCGGCCATGCCGGCGACAGGGAGTGACAGTAGAGCGCGGGAGTACATTATTCTTGGTTCTCGGGGACGGGAAATGCAACAGGGTGCGTGGGAGGGGGGGAAGCTGACCAAGCGGATGTGGGGTTGTAGAAAGATGAGGAATTGGATGCTGCGGTCGGCCGTGGATGGTAACAGATGACCTATATAGAGGTTAACAGCGGAGAAATGGCATGAGGAGGAGGCGGCGGACGGGGAGTTTCGTCGGCTGTCGTGGCGCACTTGCCCGGCCGTTGGTAGATACAGGGGGCACATTGCGACGGTGGCCGAGAAATAGAAGGGGAGGACTAAAGCAATATTGAAATGCAGATATTATTTAAGCGAAACAGGTCCTCTCTCTAGCATGTACTTTTTATTAATTTTGTACCATGACAAAACAATGCACGTGGACGGAGCGCAGTAACTGCGGGGGCGAAATTGTTATGTCAGCGTTGAGCATGTTCCTGAGGTAGGCTAAATTATCAAAGAGGCAAAGCTTCGACGATTCACAGCCCTCAGTTTTGCAGCAACGTTTGAGGGTTGTTCCACCGGTTGCCGTTTTCGGAGACCGGGCTCAGATCATAATTTACTCGATGCACGTTTTTCATTCAATTCTGCACGCACCACATCCCCACGAGGCCACGGAGACTCGAAGGGGCTTGTCTCTTGGCAGATTCCGACCGCCATGTCGTCGAATCAAATTCATTAACGCATCCGGAATCTCCATAATTAAAAGCAATTTCATCCGAAATGCATGCCACATATGCACGCATGTGTTCACATAGGCCTCAAGACTCCCCCGTCAAGCGACTGTTAGGCTTGAATCGTCATGCCCTCCTTGCGCAAACGCCAGGTGGGGGCTCCTTAACTTCATGCCCAGGCAAGAAACGACTTCCCCCTACTCTCCCTCTGCCACCCCGCCCCAAGTTTATGGACGGCAGCGATTTTTCATGTGAGGTCAATTTTGTGTCAAAAAATATATATATTGTGACAAAGTCATACCAGTGCCATTCCGTTCTTAACTATTCGTGCCAGTAGGCGGGCTTGGAACCTTAAGAGAGAGCCAAGATCTCCTTTTCCCGGGGCCGCGAAAGGTCAGTCTCTATCGCAACCCATCGCATCGCGAACGGGAAGACGGAGAACAGTGGGACTCTGCCAATAGAGTAAAAGTAAATGTCAAAGTCATATATGCAGCACCAAACTTTATCCTGCCACGGTTGTGGACTCAGTTGGGAATGAAGTGAGTTCATTTTTGTCTGCAAGTTTAGTGGCTGAGGTGCAAAAAGACCATGTTGAAAAATGGCCACATAAAAAAACATTCGTCATCCACACACGGATCCAAATCCCTCACTGTGCCGATATGCCCGAGCTGATATCACTCGCTATACAGAGGTGTCTCGGTATGTGAAACTGACACGCGTTCACGGGGAATGGAGAAAAATATCAGCAGCGCGTTGAAGATGACGGCTAGAATCTATCCGGCCGTTGTCTTCCTATGAGGTCATTTTTCAATTCATTTTTTAAATTGCGCCTCTCAATAAGAACGAGAAAGATATCCTCGTCACTGCACTTAACTTCTGCATTGCGGAAGGATGGATTTTAGTGAGAACCGCATGCCCTTTTCGATCGTTTTTAGATATGCCTGAGAAAGAAGATTATTTGAGCACCCTTGAAGTGTTTTGTGTCGATAACTTCGAAACGAAAGCACTCATTTGAGGACTTCAATTCTATCAGATTATTAGTCTCTCAGCATATTCAAAACTGCTATTCCGATTTTCGGCACGATGTTACGGCCTAGTGTCTATCCGACCAAGCGTTATCATAACATAAAAATATGCAAATCTTATTTCTTTTCAACTTTGATGGCCACGATTTCTATTTTCTTTGGTAGATTGACTAGTTTTAAATTTTTTCTTAAGTTAGAACCGAATGAGATGCAATTAAGCCCATGTTTCTATGCTACTGGAATAAATTTAACATAAAGAGAAAGTTTTCTGTAGGTCAACATTTTCTTTTGTATACCTTTATATGCATCAACACGGTGGTCTTCGCTAGAATTGACAAGCAAACGCTTTACCTGCGGTGATCGCCTTCTGGTTTCGAAAAAACCGAAGTGAAATCGCGAATATTGAAAAATAAGATACATTTTTTCCTCATATATGAGAACTAATGATCCGATATACACTAGATTTAGCGGTGCGCTGGTTAATAACATGAAGAGAGTGACTTATTTTTGTTGAGTCGTTTTGTAAAGCGGTTCTTATGCTGGACACATTGGAGGTTACAGGTTGGGTGTGTAGCAACTTGTGGAAAAACAGCAAAAGGTAAGGTACCTCGCACAGACGGATGTCTCACGTTGTCCGATGCCTTTACTTCTCCGAGGCTGCGTACCGCTCCGAGTCTTTATAGCTTCTGTTACGAAGTACCTGTGCCACAGACACATGCCACTAGCCTTTTTCCAAGCAGAGTTCCCCTGAAAGGTCATGTAGAACCTAGGCTACTCTATTAGTCCGGAGGATGGGGCAATCGAAATCAAATCTTGCAATTATCATTCCACGCAAACGTTGAACGCTCTCAACAAACAGACAGTACTTCCTGCTGTGCCTCTCCTGTACAGTCGAAGTCCATGTACACCGTGGTGAATTACGTGTAACATCTTATGACGTCGACAACTTACTTACAATCCGAAGGGTCACCGATATGTACCGATAACTGTGCAGCATACAGTATCCGCCTCACGATGATTTTTACCGGCGAATGGTTACAGTTCCCCATGGATTAATTCTGGTAAAAAGAAGCAATTCATGTTGTTTGACCTTTCGCCTTTGCTTTGAGTTCTCCCTTCCCTCATGATAAGGGAAAGTCGTGGAGAACGTCTGAGATATCGCTTTGGAGTTGTAACAACGGTTCCCAGGTTTGATCTACCTCATCGGGTAACCCAGCCCGTTGTATTAGTATGCCAATTCCATTGTCATCTCTGATGTCCACCAGTTTTTCGACGTTCTGATATGCTGTCTCAGAACGGGTTGCGTATTCGAAGAGTGCGGGATTGATTTCCTGATTTCTTCGATCTCCACGGTACCACATGAGTCTGCGAGCATGAACCGTTTCCTTCTTCCGTTTGAAAAGATATTATATATCGTATACCCACTGACTGAGCACCCTGAAGATCCTCCACGGACCACTCCAGACAAATCCCAGCTTGCGTCCTTTTCTTTGAGCTCGGCGGACAAGTACCATGTCACCTAAGTGAAACTTTGCTGGCACGACATTAGTCTTAGCGTTTTGATTCAGTATTTGACGAGCTCTGACCGCATCGATACGCCGCTTCACGTCCTTATGCATGTTCGACAAAACCTCCTGCAGTTCTTCAATGTTGTGTATTTGGCGCAATTGTAACTCATCCTCTGACTCAGCATTCTTGTATTTGACTACGGGAAGCGCACACTTGAGGGGACGACACGGCTTAATTCCAGTGAACACTTCCAGTGGTGTTCTGTGTACTCCAGCAGAGCGTGTCCCAAGTCTTTTGAGAGGTGCGTGATTTAGGATAGCTTGAACACAGTATACAATAGCGGGCCAATCCTGCGTGGCAAATTGACACTCCGAAAGCAGTGCCTTACATGACCGAAGTACCTCGCGGCATACTCTCTCTACAGTACCATTCGCCCATGGGCTGCAGGCTGTAGTGAAATGACATCGGACCTTGTACTTGCGGAGCAGCTCCTCGTTCAACTCGTTCATGAAATGCGACCCTTGATCACTAAGCACCCAGTCCATGATACTAAAAGATGCAATCCACTTGTACATGGCTTGCGCAGTGACCTCTGCGTTAGCAGCAGCAGCGAGATGGAGCCAAACAAAAGACGAAATGTCACCCCTAACTACAAGTATGTACTTCATGCCATCAAAGCCATCACCCATGTACAAGAAGTCCATGTGCACTACTTGGTTGGGTTTTGAGCCATGAAGCGCCGAACCAAGCGGCCGTGGAACGTTTTCTCCACTACGCGTCACAATACAGTGGATGCAGAATCGGACAAACTCTTCAATGTCATTCGACATTTCCTTCCAGTAGAAGTTCTCTCTGAGGACACTCTCCGTCGCTGTTTTCCACGGTTTCCTCCCAGACTACAGTGTGAATCGACTTAGACCTTCATCTGCAGCCTTACGTCTAAACTCCGAATCCAGATGCGACCTCCTCTCTTCCAGAGATTGTCTTCGTCACAAATTTCAATGCCTTCCTCAGCTGGAGCAGGACGATTTTTGTTCTGTGAGTTTCTGAAGACGTACATCGAAGGCCAAATGTAGTCCTCCCAAGTAGGCGAGTCAACTATCCCATCAATTCTTGCAAATTTTGGCATCTTCGGAGTGCACGTTTCTCTGATCTGTAGCCCTTGAGCCACCGAGTGAGTATATCTGCGAATACGTTTCTTTCGCCATCCACATGCTCAATGACAGAAGTGAGTCTTGATAGATACAGCGCCCAACGCTGTACCTTACAAACAATGTGCCTTCCTAGAGCCTGCTCGAGAGCCATGGGTGCAAATATGAACAGGAGGTACCGATGATCAGTGAATAGGTGCGTAGGCTGATCGTCATGGAAAAGATAGTCAGAAAGACAAGTTTCTTGACCACTTGGCAAATTTCGAAGACCTCTTGTTCGAATGTGCTCCAAATTATTTCTGCATTTTTGAAATGTGCCCCAAGGAGGGCTAAAGGTTCATGCATCTGTTCTTCCACCGGTTTTCGTAACTCTCCAAGATCCGTCTGGGTTACCACCGCCGATCAGAATTGGTTTGACGCGTCAGTGGAGACACAAATCTTCTTGCCCTTCTTTGGAAAATAAATCAGAACAGCATTTCTAATTTTGTCCTGTAGACTTCGGAAGACTTGTTCCTGTTTGTTTCCCCAGGACAGAGTTTGAAGTGAATTGTTTTGAATCGATCGCTTCGTTCGCCTTCCAGTACGTGCGTACGCTTCTTCGAGGACGTCTGTTAGCGGAGCGGATCGTTCAGCAAATTCGGTTATGGAGTTTGACATACATCTGAGACAGTGCACAAACTGGCACAGTTCCCCCGCGGTACGCGGCATATCAAGTTCCTGCAAGGCTGAAACTCTTGTTGGGTCCGTCTTGATACCGTCTTTCGATATGATTCTGCCACACCATCTGACTGCCTTCGTGAATAACACACTCTTCTTTGCCGAAAGAAACAGTCCATACTTTCGACAAGTCAAGAAAACTGCGCCAGGAGTTGTAACAGCTGATCTTCTCCCTGAGAATGGATGATAAAATCGTCCAGCCAGGCTTTGAGATTTTCTCTCATCTGATGAAATAACGGTTCAACTTTGCTCTGAAAGTTTGCCACTGAGTTTACAGCACCTTTCTGTGTTCCCGTTGGTGAGTGAAGATAGATGGTGGTTTACGGTTGGAGCTCCCGCGCACCCGAGATATCAGCGGTAGCGAGAGTACTCTTGACTATCTATCGAAAAGTAAACAAAGAAAGAACAATATCAGAGAATAGACATGTGAGGGAAGCCCAGGGAAGGGCGTCCTGACGGGGATGGGTGGGCAAACGAGAAATACACATAGCCGACAAGTCACGAGACTCTCACCCGGCCGTCGGCGATATGTAGGACAGTGCACGCTCGTTCGAATGCCAGGTGTCGGCATGTCACTCGCTACTCCCTGGACAGCTTCACCCGCATACACAAGTGTATACAGACGCGGAGCGCAAAGCGGAGCCGAGTGTGCGAGCGATGCGGAGACGGAGGCAGGCTAGACTGCTTGGCCTTGGGGTAGCATATGCGCGAAGATAAGGCGCGACGCGGCGGTGACAGAAATACTACTATCAAAGTAGACCTGTAGCTTCTCCATAGATACCCAATCCAAACGATTCATGATCCAAGCGTCTGTGAATCCAAGTCCTAAAAGCTCATTGTACGCCCCGATTCGCGCGCTGTGTGACGAATAAAAGAACCCCTTTGGCAGAACAGCGCCAACACGCAGCAGCGACAATGACATGGCAGCGTTCAAATTCGCAGTCCCCAAGCGCGTTCCAGCTCGGAGGTTGAAGAAACCAGCATTGGCCGGTCGCTGTGTCTTCCACCTGAGCATCAACAGCCCGGGAGCATCCCATTCGGGATTGCGACGGTAGGAGAGTCGCAGTGGGCGTTGATAAGACTTCGCTTTACGATGCGTCAGGGCCACATCCACGCTAGCATCCGTGACATCAATGTCTTCTGCTGCCACGTGTGCCACGGAAATTGACCTGCATTGAAAAATAAATGCGAAAACAACCATAGCGCAGGAGCCCACTTCCTCAACGACATCGGTGCCCAAGCCAAACTCTGCCACACGCATCGCGATTGCGGCACTAATCCCGATTCGTTTTCGCGCTTCAGGTCGATCGCGATCGGTCTTGTTCATGTACGCAGAAACCATGGCAGACACTAGCGGGGAACGCGTCGGAGAGGGTAGCCCTTGAGTCTCATGGAAACGGGAGACAGCGCTGATATAATTGCGAACCGAGCTTGGACCTACCCTACCCTCCAGGTACATGTAACCCAGGAAAGCGAGCTCGTCCCCTTCGTTTGTAGGCAGCGGATCTCGACCGTCTTGATCACAGAACACCAACCACTTCTTAATCTGACTGCTCCTGTTTGCCCACGTCTGCGCCTTCCACCCATGCGACACCAGCAGCTCCGCCGCTACCTCTGCACCTCCCGTCTCCCCTTCCATCCCCGTCCTTGCCAGCACCGCATCCCGGATCCCCGCCGTCCACAGCTGCGCTACCCTATCCTTGCCAACACTAGTTCCCATGCGGCGTTCAGTGGGCGCGAGATTTTAAGCAACGGGGGGCCGTGGTCGGAAGGGCGAAGCACGATGAGCTCCTCCGCCAGCCCGCGCAAGCGCGCGTACCATGCTTGCGCTGGCCAGTGTGGGGCTATCAACACCCCCTTTCCGCCCTCGGCCTGAATCTTCCTCACCACGAGCGGAAGGAAATCGAATGGCGGATTCCAAAGACGCGCAAGCCCATCCCCCCAATACTCCCCCATCTGCGTCAGAGCGTACTTCTTCCTGGCCACCAGCGTTTCCCCAACCGGGCGATCTTTGCAGACGACCTCGTCCAAGCGGTATTCGTGCTGTATTGACCGCAACAAGCGGTCCGTAGCTCGTGCGTCTCCCGGGTCCCACGTTCGGGAAAGGCCGTCTGCGTAGCGATTCACGGCCGAGGGCAACCAGCGCGCCTCTATTGTCACCCCCAGCACCACGAGCATCTTCTGCAGCCGACGAAGCTCGGCCATCATCGGCTTTGAAGCCGAGACCATGGCGTTCAGCACGTAGACGACTGCTTGGTTGTCCTCGTGTAGCAGCAGCCGCCTCACGCTCGGCTGGGAGACGTAGTCGCCGAAGTGCCTCTGCAATAGAAGCCTCACTGCCCTTAACTCTCTCAGCGTTATACTAGTCGCCCGATCCTCGGCCGTCCAGAAACCGCGATCCTCCCACAAATCCGGTGACCCAGCCTCCTCGTCGTCGCCTAGGGTCCTCCCATATCCCACGTCGGCGGCATCGCTGTGCATCGTTGCATGAGGTTGCAGCCTGTGGAGGTCCCTGCCTTCTCCACGCGCCAATGAACGCCAATGTCGCAGGTCGCGCAGCGACTGCCGACAGAGGCGAACGCGACCCCGGCAACGTGTCTTCCTCTTCTCCCCGACCAGAACGCCGTCCATGGTGTCCGAAACCGTTTCGGGGGCTCCGCCCCCAGACCCCCGGCTCCGCTCTGCGTGGGGGGCTCGCTTCGCTCGCAACAACACCCCCCTTCGTACTTGGCCCTCGCTCCTCCCGCTCCGCCAACGCCATGTCGAAGTAAAGCGAGCGGGTGTAGAAGCGCGGGAGCGGCAATGCCAGCGTAAGGGAGACGGCGACGCCACAGAAGTGCCGCAGCCTTTCCAATGACACCCAACGGCGGTTTCATTGAGCGAGTAGCAGTAGCTCCTGTGCCAATCTTAGAACCTTCAAGCGCCTCGCCTCCGAAATGTAAACCTTCATAGCCACAGTGTCCACATGCACGCCCAAATGGTCTAAACGCTGCGCTCCTTCCCAACAACCTTTCGACGGGTGCCGGACTATGCCCAGCCGCGCAAATAGTGCGTCCAGACGGCGCCGAGCAAGCGCACAGTCCTTCTTCGTAGCGGGCCGCGTTGCGGGCGAGGGCGAGAGCAGGAAGTCGTCGATATACGGGAGCACTCGGTAGCGGTACCTCTCCCGCAAATGCCGCGCGAGCGGCCGAAGCATCTTTCTAAACCACAGCACCGACCTTCCCCATCCGAACGGTAGGGCAACACACCGGTAGAACGAGCCATCGTAGGAGAAAATAAACATATCGCGCATGGATGGATGCAAGTAGAAGTGCCGATATCCACTCTTCACATCCCACGACATCATCATGTCTCCCTTCTGTAATTCCATCGCGAAGGCCGTTACAGTCTCCATCTTCACAGTGCCCCGGGGCCAGTGCTTGCTCTGTTGTGAAGAATTGACGACAAAGCGTCCCTTCTTCTCTGCTCTCTCGCCCTGCCAAACGGTAAATGCGGACGATACCATCTTCCCCCCTTCCACGCATCTCTCCACATAATCCGGATCCAGCCGCTCGTAAATCCCGCTCCGGCAACCAGCCTCCAAGTCTTCTTTCCCAAACCTCCTGTCTTCCTCTGATTGGGGGATATCGGGCAGCACCACACCCTCTGTAAATGGCACAGCAGGAGGGTCCAGGATCCCATACCGAATGGCACGCACCAGATACGCGCTGGCCTCCAGCTCCGTACGCCATGCATCCGCGCGCAGTGCTACCCCTCTCCAAATTGGGAGTCCCCCCACTCCCACTTTGTCCTTTCCGCCAAAAGGCGGGCCCGTCACTCTTCCGTGGCAGCCCCTGGGGAGCTGCCATTCTAGATTGAGGCACGTTGGAGCCTGGCCTTAGCCAACCTTTTTGCGGCCTCTGTTTACATCTTGGACGTGAGTGCAGCCCGGGCCGAACGGTAGGACTCTGAGAGTACAGCGTCATGCCCTTGCTCGACAAGGAAGGACATCTGTCTCGCGATCTCAACTCCTTGCTCCGTAATGTCCCGAAAGTATTGCGCCCGCATAGATAAAACCTCCAGCGTCGCCTTCATAGCATCCTCGGCGAGCACGAGTCTTCTTGTCATATCTTCGATAGTCCCACCATGCGTCCTCGCGACGTCGAGGGCTGTAAGCCCCAACTCCGTCCAGACGCCAGCAGCACTCAAATACTCCCACTCTTTGGCTGATCGCCGGTCCCGGGAGCGGAGCTCGTTGAGGAAGGCATCTTGAGGGGGCTTGAAGTAGCCCATATGCGTTATGGGTACATGTGGGCCCCGATCGAAGATGCCGCCCTCACCAACCAGTCGGGCAGAATTCAGTTCAGTGACAGCAGTCGCGTAGTCGCGGCGCTCGGACTTTGCGATCGCCCAGGCTGCACGCGCCACTGCTCCAGCGTCGTTCGCAGCGGTTGGCGCGCGTGTGACAACCGGCGCGGCGGCCGCCGTGCCGTCTTTGTCGTTGTCAGTCATGCTGCCCGGAGTCCTCTGAGTGGACTCTACTAGAACCTGTCACCGCCTCGCGTCGAGGGGAATTTCTCTTTCTCAAAAGAGAAATAGACATAGCAGAGAAGTCACGAGACTCTCACCCGGCCGTCGGCGATATGTAGGACAGTGCACGCTCGGTCGAATGCCAGGTGTCGGCATGTCACTCGCTACTCCCTGGACAGCTTCACCCGCATACACAAGTGTATACAAACGCATATACCCTTGCGTGTGACCATACTG